GTAATTTAAATGTTATATTTTTAATTTACAACATAATGTCTATAATGAACATTTTATCATTTCAAACTCACTTTTTAACAACAATTCCAAACAATTAAATTTTAAATTGCATGTTTATACAATACTTTTGAAATTCGTTTCTACAGCAATTTTAAAAATTATATTTCAAAAGATATAACAAATTGATCCTAAATTTCTTTCATCTATATTTTCCTCTTTATCTAACCTATTAATCTTCACAAGTTTTATTTTATTTTTACTTGAAATACGAGGGTTTTGCATTTATTTATTTATTAAATAATATAAAATTATAATATAATATTTATTTAAAAATTTTAATTATTGAAAATATATATACATTATGTAGATACAATTATTCGATCTGAGACTTTTAAAAAAATAATACTCCCTTCTACATTAATAATTTTATGAATTGTTCATATAATTTAATAAAAAAGTCAAAGAATAATTTTAAAATTTTATTTTTTAAATAATTTTATCAAATAAAAAATCTTAAGATTTACAGAATAATATATAAAATTTTACCTAAATTAATAATGGTCCAAAATTTATATGGTGGGTAGTTAGTGGGCAAGCAGATATGGGATGAGCGGATACGGGGCGGGTAAGGTCTCAAACCCGTCATCTACCCACGGTGGGCATGCCTTTTTACATCCACACCCGCCCACTACCCACTAAACTTACACCCATCACCACCCCAATTAGTACGGGTACGATACGAAATCCACAAAATTGTACTATGTCATCCCTATTTTTTATACAATAATTTTGTAACGTCTTGATTTTTAGATTGGTAGTTTCTGATAAACCCGAGTGAATTTTAACTAGGTCAAAGAACCTATAAAGAGTGTTGGGCTAAAATATAATTGTAATTTCTAGTTGGTAGTTTGATTTGGGCTTGAGCCCATTAAGGTTTAAAATGAGTGTTTTTGAAGTGAGCTTGAAAGGGGGACGACTAAGAGTGCAATTAACCCCTAAAATGTTTTAAAGTTAAAATCCATTCAATTTTCATGAGGTCACCCGAGAAGAAATAAGAACAAAGAGATAGCCTTATTTTCATCTCATCTTTGTCTTATTTCTTTCTTCAAAATCCATTCTCTTCTCTTCTCCATCTTAAGCAAAGGTGAGAACTTTGTTGGCGTTCTTCCCTAATCCAAAAATATAGAGGTAAGTTGAGTAATTCCCATCTTCCAAGCTCCATTTTAAGCCCCCAACCTTAGAGTTTGGCCATAGTTGGGTTTATGGAGGGTTTTGTGGTTAGAGCTTCTGTGATGCTCTAAATCCTCCCTAAGCTTTAGAAATTTCATTCTTGTCTTTCTTAAGCTCTTATAGGAGCTAACAACTCATTTTCATTGATTTTTCTAATGATTGAAGAGTTTGAGAGCTCAAGGAGGAAGGGCAAGGAAAAAGAAGTGATTGGACGAGCCTTGAATTATTTCTTCAGCCTCTAGGTGAAAGGTAACACACTTATAACCTTCATAAACTGTTTATAGGTCAACATATGTAGTTTTGGATGCTTGTATGTTTTTATGAGCCTTTGTGTGCACTTGGGATTTAAATCATGAAAATAGGGTTTCAATGTTTTTATGTTTATGTAATGACCTTTCATGATCCTTTAACTATACATAAGCTTTAAACACTATTGGGGAATTGGGGTAACATTAGGAGTGATTTGGAAGATTTTCCATAAGAGAAAACAATGTTTCTAGGTCGAGAGTATCGATATTGTAAGAATAATATCGATATTGTCCGCTGGGAATGGAAAAAATTCAAAGGATTTGTGAGAAGGGTATTGATACTCCACTATTCATGTGGTATCAATACTCGGGAGCTAGTATCGATAATCAGGAACCCAAATCGTATTATAGTATACAATTTTAATTTCGATACTCAAGGGAATATCAATACTCACCATAGGGGTATTAATAATGAGATATTTTTCAAAACATCAAATGAAATTTTGGTATCGATACTCACAGGAGTATCGATACTGAGAAGGGTGACTATAGATACTCCCAGGTGAGCATCGATACCGAGATTAATTTCCAAATATCGAAGGCAAAATTTTTACTGATACCCAAAGGAGTATCGATACCACTGGAGGGGGAATACCGATACCCAAGGGGAGTATTGGTACATGCGTGAAATTTTAGGCAGTAATGTTAGTTGTATAAAGAAAAGATGTTGGGGTATTATTAAGAGGGGGCACTCTTCCATAAGAATACAAGTGGAAACCTTAATAATTGTGTGATAACATGAGGTCTTAATGAGGTAAGATACCATAAGACTTCTGCCTTTGTTGATGCTCGGGAAATGACAATGACACCCGAATTACTTAATTATGGTAGTGTGATGGTATAAGGATTGTCCAGATATATCCAATCAAGTGTTGGTGCACTTAAACGCTAGTTGGATGTTGCACCGACGCTATGTGACCCTAGCAAATCCCAAGTACTCTAGAGGAGTAGGCTAGCCGACTGAGCTCCAAGCTTTGTGACCTGGACTCAGCTCGAATTATAAAAGGACATTGATGTTTTGTGACCCAGGTCTTGCCTAAGGTTCTTAAGTAAGTAAAGAGGGGTGTGAGTTTCGTGATGCTAAGCAACCCCAAGATACACCATGATGCTTACTTCGATTATTGTGATAATGTATTAAAAATGTTTATAACCATACTTGTAGCATGCTCATATGTTGAATGCATGTAGTATAGTAGGGTTATTTGTGTGACACTGAGCTTGTGAGCTCAGCGTATGGAATGTATTTCTGTGCACAGGTTCTTAGGTGCCAGCTAAGGAGCTCATCGCTAGACTTGGAATCCAAACTTGTCCGTCTTTTCAGAGTATGTCTCGATCATTGAAGAGGGCATGTACTGACATATACCTTTATTTGTAATTGAGTCGTAAACTTTATTATTTTGTATTTACATGTTATGGAGACTAATGTTGGGAGCTCCCCATATTTTAAATACTTGTATTTTATAAATGTATCATATTTGGTTTATGTTATATGCATATGTCAATTTGGTCAAATGATTTTTAAAAAAATGGTTAACCACTTATTTGGTTCCATGTGATATTCTAATCCACCAAATTTTAGGTCGGATCGGATTAGGGTGTTAAAATTTTCAATTACAAATAAATTAAATGATAAATTATTTTAAAATTACCATGGGTAGAGCTATTCATTCATAAGCTTGGATGGGAAAAACTAAGATATAGAAAATTATTAAATTCTTTATTTAAATTTATTCAATTATTCGTTTTACTAATTCAAGAATTGAAAAATAAAAAATAAACTTATGTACTTTTTGGTCTCTAAAGAATTTGTTTCTGGTTAAAAATAGGTGTCTAATGCTTTTTTTGTTATACTTTTAAAAAAATTATGTGACACATGTCACGCTTATATTTTTTTTATTTTTTAAAATAAAATATTATTTAAAAATATATATATTTTTTAAAAAACCTGAACATGACATGTGACACTTAATGTGTTTTTTTTAATGGTAGATACCTAAAAGTGTAACGGAGAAAACCTCTCTCTATATATATTAAATATGGGATGAATACAATGGTAATATTTGTTCATAAATTTTCAACCATTTTACAATAAAATATTCATACCCTTGACATAGACGATACTCGAACTCAAAACCTTAAGAGATAGCAACAAATCGTTTGATTCATGCAATTATTTTAAAAATTTTAAATTGTAAATTAAATAATAAAATTTTCAACAATGACATGTTTGGTCAAAATTAAAGACCATAATAGTATGATCTAATATATGGCATCCATAAAATAAGAAAGGATGTGCCTGCTTCTTGTCATTTTCAAAATTACAAAAATTAGAATGTTTGATCACAAACTCGTCCAAATTATTACAATCTCATATAAAATTATATATATTTTTTTAATATTTAGGCATATCAGTTATATATTCATAATAATGCTTTATTATATAAAATCTCATATTCAAGCACCATGAATGTTAGGAGTGTGAGTGCTTAATGTAAAACGACAGAAAACTATTTTTAAACAAATACCGTCTTGTACTTATCATAGATTAATAATTTTTTTTTTCCAAAACTGCTCTATTACATTGAAATTGTTCTTTTTAATGAAAAAAAATTCATTAAAGTTTTTCTTTAAAAAGTAATTTTGCTTTTTTTTTGGTTCCTTAAAGATTCTACGAGCAGACAACAAATTTGGCTTGGAAAAGGAAAAGACAAGTAGGTAATGAATCACTTGTCTTAGAGGAAGTCATATTTAACTATTTTCGGGGTACTTCAGCCGCAATTATATGGAAAGTTAATTACCTAATGTCCGAAGAAAGACTTGTCAATTTATTCTTTTCGTTGTAGTTATTCTTTAACTAATGACAATGGTAAAAAAAAAGCTCAAGTCGGGGAGAATTTTGCAGGAACAAAATGAATCGGTGTGAATATCATTAATAATAATATGTAACGTGTCTAGACATCACACAATTCCAGCAAGAAATAATAAATAGATAATTAATACACTTGATGTAACAAGTTAGAAGGAAGACGACGATCGATGGTGGGAGGAGGATATATTGGCCACGTGTGTGGATCAACAATAATATGAAGAAAACTTGGAAGGTATTAATCATGCATCCAGGCTCTGTGGGGACTTTTTCTCATCGACATGGGGGATACATGTGACCGATTAATACACATGCGGAGGTGGTTTCTATGTTAAAATCTGATTTGCAGGCAATAGAAATTAATACACATCCTATATTTTGTTGCAAGCACTGATAGATATGTTTTAACAATTAAAAAATGATAATTATGTAGGAATATATATATCATTGTTTTAATAAACAAGGGCGATGTAACTAAATTTCCGGGGAAAGTGCCAAGACAATCTTTTCGTTTCACTTGGACTTGGACTGGCCCTCCATATTTTAATATTTAAGTCTCGTGGTGTTCAACCATGAAAGGTTGGGGAAAAAAGGAATAAAAGTAAGCCACTTTGGGTTGCTTCTTATCTCTCGAAAGGTTGGGGAAAAAAGGAATAAAAGTAAGCCACTTTGGGTTGCTTCTTATCTCTATATAAACCTTGTCTTCCTCGTTTAGTTTCCCATCATTCCTGCACCGAGGATCTTGTTTTCCTTCACCAAATCATTTTTTAAAAGAATTTTCTGCAAACAAGCGCTCGATCAGGTTAATTCCAAAACCTATAACTTTATTGTTTGCATGTTAACGTTCTCCTTCGGATTTGTTGTTTGTTTCTTAAGAAACCATAAGCATGAATTTGCAGCTTTTTGATATTATATTGATGAATTCGTACATTAACATGTCCTCATTACAACAGTGACAAGCACAGCAAACAAAATAGTAAATTGATCCGTTTCTGAATCAGAAGGGAAGAGATCGTCATGTGGAAGCTTAAGATCGCAGAGGGTGTTGACGGTCCACACTTGTACAGCACCAACAACTACGTGGGGAGACAAACCTGGGAATTCGACGCCAACGCCGGCACCCCAGAAGAGCGAGCTCAGGTGGAAGAGGCTCGCCAAAATTTCTACAAGAACCGGTTCCAGGTCAAGCCTAGCGCCGATCTCATTTGGCGCATGCAGGTATCTTCTGCTTCTATCTTAAATATACAATTAGTTCGGGTGCCCATTTTGAACCCTCTTATGAAACGGTTCTCTCTCTCTCTCTCTAGTTGATTTTTTGTTTCAAAATATTCTTGGTTTTGTTAGGTTTATGTCTGTCAAATTAAAGGCCAAATGATACGATCTTAGTAACGATAAGAACTCCAAGTTTCTTTATTTTATTTTATTTTATTTTCTTTAAAGTCTGAACCATGATTCCTTCAAGAAATCCCTCCCCCCTTTAAACTTTACAATGTATAATTATACAAATTTTTACTGTCTATAAGAATTAAAGAATATAATTTAAAAACTTCCAATCATATCCAATCAAAAGAACTCATGAATTAAAACGATTATTTAACTATATTATAACCATATAATTACACTTAACTATAGAAAACTAATTATATAATAACTTTCTAAACTCACTTTAATTTTCTAAAGTCGAATATATTTTTTTTAAAAATTCTAAATTTAATCTTAATCCTATATAAAGAAAGGAAAATGAGTGATGTTAGGGGAAGAAAAAAGAGTATTCTTGATAGTCTAAAATATATAATCTAAGAAAGCATGATGGTATAAAAATAAATAATTTGACCAACCGACGAAATATACCCACTAAAATTCATTATTCAAACGTAAAAATAAAATAGCTTATGAATTTGATTACTCATTTGACATAAAGCAATTGACACGAAATAACTGGCATAAGTCCAATGTTACCCATTTCAATGATAAATCAAATATACATATTGCACGAATGCCAGAAAATAAAACAATTCACCTACACAAGATCATGTTTGATAGAGACGTGCTTATATAATTTCATCATGGATTCTTATCAAATTTGGATATATATATATTACACCTGTAATATATAATTTCATATTTTATAACGTTAAAAATGTTATATTAGTAAAATGATTAAAATTTAAATACTATTGTCAAATACATAAATTAATATAAAAACATTTAGGGCTGGGATTAAAAATTATCAAATTTCAGACCTGAAAAATACTCTATCTCCAGTGATCTTATTCTTAAGAAATAGGCTAGTATGTTTTTCAATTTAAAATCTTATAATATATGTTTTAAAATTTGTAATTTTCTATCAATCTCGTGTTTTTCCACTCAACAACACTAAAATTAATTCGTAGTCAAGTAGAAATAAAAAGAAATGACCAATATTGCACGTTGAACATTTTCTATTCCTTAGAACATATATTATTCTGTAATCACCTTGGTTTAATAAAAAATATTTTCTATTCGTTTCCTTTTGCTAACATTTTGACACGTATTTGGAAATCTTTTTATTATAAAAAAATAAATATGCAATTATCGTTAAAAAAGAAAAAGGCAAGTGAAGTGCATTTGGTATGAGATGAATGTTGTCACAAAAAGAGGGGAATGCCAAAAGTGGAGAGACCCGGAAAAAAAAAGAAGGGCGGAGGCAGCGACGACTTTGAATACTTCGCCCAACCACTCACCATGCATTTTTCTCACTCATTTGGTATTAAATGTTCACCTCTAGTATTTCTGATGTTCGAATTTAATACTTAAAAAAAATAATAATTTATTTATCACCGAATTCGTTTGGTTTGTGCTTCCATTATCATTAACATGTTTAGGACAGGCTCCCGATGTCATTTAATCAATTTATCTGTTAAATTATTTGGATAATTTTTAAAATAATTATATGTACTTCTATTACTTTAAAAGTTATGATAAGAAGAAAAAGTTTTTCGTTGCCTTTCAGAAAATTAGGGGAAAAAAGATTTCGACCCTTTCAAGATAAGTATTTAGTGAAAGACATAAAACGAATTTTTAGGAAATTATAAATTCATGGTCTAGTGGGAGAAAAATATTGAAATTAAATTATTTCCGAATTATTTCTTAATTCTTCTTAATTTGGTTTTTATATGATATTAGATGGTTAATAATTCCTTATAACATAAATGATTTAATTAATTAATTTAGTGACCCATATCATGTGATGGTTATGTAATTTTTTTGGGCAGTTTCTAAGGGAAAAGAATTTCAAGCAAAGTATACCAGCAGTGAAAATTGAAGATGGAGAGCAAATCTCAGATGAGAAGGCGAAAACAGGATTGAGGAGGGCCGTCCATTTCTTCTCAGCTTTGCAAGCCAGTGATGGTCATTGGGCCGCTGAAAATGCCGGTCCATTGTTTTTCCTTCCACCCTTGGTAAATTTCCTTGGCTACAACTTGTCAATCTGCTCTTAACCAAATGCAAATGTTAATTTACAATGTTATCTACTTAAAAATTGCAGGTTTTCAGTATGTATATTACTGGACACCTTAATACAGTATTCCCTGAAGAGCATCGTAGAGAAATCCTTCGTTATATATATACTATCACCAGGTACGTACTCTACATTTTGATATAATTGATGTATATATCCAAGTACATTGAAGCATTTTTTATGAGTGATGCAGAATGAAGATGGTGGTTGGGGATTGCATATAGAAGGTCACAGCACCATGTTCTGCACGGCTCTTAGCTACATTTGCATGCGTATTCTCGGGGAAGGTTCCGATGGCGGACTCGACGATGCTTGTGCGAGAGCGCGCAAGTGGATTCTTGACCATGGCAGTGTTACTCACATGCCCTCTTGGGGAAAGACTTGGCTTTCGGTGTGTATGCATGAATGCACATGTTTCGCAAAATTCACCTTTAAAATTTACCCATATTCAGATTGAGAAAACCAAAGAAATCATACGATATGCTCTTCTTTTTTTTTGTAGATACTTGGTGTTTTTGACTGGTCTGGAGCTAATCCAATGCCCCCGGAGTTCTGGCTCCTCCCTTCTTTCCTTCCTATGCATCCAGGTTTGCATGAATCAATTTCTTTGTACCAATATTAGTTCGTTCATGTGTCTATCGATGAAGGACGTTAATCCGAAACTATCCTTTTAAATACACAGCAAAAATGTGGTGCTACTGTCGCATGGTGTACATGCCAATGTCATATCTATATGGTAAAAGGTTTGTCGGACCGATCACACCTCTTATCGAGCAATTGAGAGAAGAACTCTACCTTCAGCCTTACAATGAAATTAATTGGAAGAAGATACGCCATTCATGTGCACCTGTAAGTTTATCTTTATTGTATACATATTACAAACTGCAAAGATATTGAACTGCACTACAATTAAGTTCACAAAACATTGATAAATAATTTATTGTTACAGGAGGATATCTACTATCCACATCCATTGATTCAAGATCTGATGTGGGACAGTCTATATATATGTACCGAACCACTACTTACTCGTTGGCCTTTTAACAAGTTGATCAGAGAGAAGGCTCTCCAAGTAACAATGGAACACATTCACTATGAAGACGAAAATAGTAGATACATCACCATTGGTTGTGTGGAGAAGGTAATTCTACTATCGTAGTCGAGTTTGTGAAAATTCGATCCATGTATGTATAGCTATTTGATTGCTAACCATCTGGTGTCACCGAATGGAGTAGGTGTTATGCATGCTTGCCTGTTGGGCTGAAGAACCAAATAGTGATTATTTTAAGAAACACCTTGCTCGAATCCCGGATTACCTTTGGGTGGCTGAAGATGGAATGAAGATGCAGGTTTGTGCACATTCATTCCGTAAAACAAACCTATTTATTGATTGAATCGATAAAAAGGAAAGATGTTGCCTCCATGATTATTGGTATGCAGAGCTTCGGAAGCCAACAATGGGATACCGGTTTCGCTCTTCAAGCTTTGCTTGCAAGTAACCTCACTGATGAAATCGGACCTGTACTCAAGAGGGGACATGACTTCATCAAGAAATCTCAGGTTTAATATCAGTTTCATTCATCACAAAGTCATTTTCAACCTTTTTCATATCATTGAGAATAATTGTTATCTTCCGATCAAAACGAATAGGTCAAGGACAATCCTTGTGGAGACTTTAAGAAAATGTACCGCCATATTTCGAAGGGATCTTGGACTTTCTCTGATCAAGATCATGGATGGCAAGTTTCTGATTGCACCGCCGAAGGCTTGAAGGTAACTGATTTCTTTAGTTGCGATCAAATGCAATACAAAATTACATAAACGAGTGATGCATCTATTGTATAAATTCATGTTGCCTTAACAGATATCCCTCTGTTTTGCAGTGTTGCCTGCTCATGTCCATGTTGCCAGCAGAAATTGTTGGTGAGAAAATGGAGCCTCAGCAGTTATATGATGCAGTCAATGTTATACTTTCTCTGCAGGTAACAATTTGCTCACTCTAAATTTCAATGATGCTTTTCACTTAGTTTAGGTTGTTCGTTTCGATAAGCTTAAAATGCTTCACTTGTTGTATACAGAGCAAAAATGGGGGACTAGCTGCCTGGGAGCCTGCTGGAGCTCAAGAATGGTTGGAAGTAAGTGCTTTAGCCATTGATGTGTACTCTGTTTTACAATTGTTTTTCAATATGTTAATGATGATTCCTTCTTTGTTCTTCTTCTTCTTCTTCTTCAGATGCTTAATCCGACCGAATTTTTCGCTGATATAGTCATCGAGCATGAATACATTGAGTGCACGGCATCTTCAATCCATGCCTTGGTTTTGTTTAAGAAGTTGTACCCTGGGCACAGGAAGAAAGAAATCGAGAATTTCATTACGAATGCTGTACGCTACCTCGAAGATATACAAATGCCTGATGGTTCATGGTATGCACTTTTCGGATTTAATCGAATAAGTCATTTCATGATTGCTTTTCGAAAAGCATTAGAGTTGAATCGTATTGAAAACTTCAACAGGTATGGAAACTGGGGAGTCTGCTTCACGTATGGTACATGGTTCGCACTCGGAGGGCTTACGGCGGCAGGCAAGACATACGCCAATTGTGCAGCAATGCGCAGAGGCGTTCAATTCCTACTTACAACCCAAAGAGAGAATGGTGGGTGGGGTGAGAGCTACAAATCATGCCCCGACAAGGTAAAAATCTTAAATGCCACGAAACCCTCAGTCCGAATGTCCCGTTCCATGTTTGGCACACTGTTGGTTTAATCGGTAATAATATTGACGGGGTTCGTGATGCAGAGATATGTGCCTCTGGAAGATGGAAGATCAAACTTGGTGCACACTGCATGGGCCATGATGGGGTTGATTCATGCTGGACAGGCAGAACGAGACCCGACGCCTCTGCACCGTGCCGCGAAGCTGATAATCAATTCTCAGTTGGAAGACGGCGATTTTCCGCAACAGGTGCTGGCTTGTATAACTTACTTGCATATTTAGAAGACTTCATTAATAGAAATCATCTGAAGCTGACAATGGGATCTTACTGCTATGAACAGGAAATCACTGGAGTGTTTATGAAAAATTGCATGTTACACTATGCAGCATATAGGAACATTTACCCACTGTGGGCGCTTGCGGAGTACAGAAAACGTGTTCCATTGCCATAATGCTTTGCCCAAGCCTGTTGAAACTTGTACTCGTCAAACACAAAACAAGAGGGTCATACAGATTTGCTGCTTCTGTTTACTTCTTTATTCCATTATTTTCTCACGTGAGCGTAAGATGAAATTTGTAAAATGTATTGACAATTATAATTTTTTAAATGTATTAGCAACTCGATGAATAAAAAATAATAATAACTTGATATATAATTCTTCGTGATAAGTGTTATGCTGTCGTTAGAATAGAAGTTTCAGCGCCGTTACAAATGATTTTTTTTACCGGAGTTGTTTCACGGAACGTAAAATTACTTTTAAAATAAAATTATAAAAATATTATATTATTTATCATATTATTCGGAATATTGTATTATTTTATTTGATTTATTTTACAAAAATACAAGATTATAATGTTTAGTTGAATGAATATAAGATAAAAATATATTTTACCAAATTGTAATTGAGATATATTTTCTTTTTTACAAGTTTAATTTTTAATATTAAATTCAAAATATTTACATGAAAATTAATAGGAAATATAATTTTTTTCATTTTTTAATTTATATATTGTTAAATAAAATTTATACACAAATAAATTAAGATATATTTTTTATTTTTTTTTATTTCTTTCAAAATAGTTGATGAGTTGATGACAGTAGTTGCATCAATGATGCATTTTAACATATAGTACAATAATGCACTTTTAGTTTTCATATATACTTAAGGGTGCATTTGGTTCACGGAATATAAGATTATCGATGGGAATAGGATTACCGGAATGTAACATTACCTAACACATTACTGGAAATGTTACATGACTGTGTTTGGTTTGTTTGGCAGTAATGTAAGATTACAGTTTTTGGTTGAATGAATAAAAGATTACTGAAATGTATATTTTACCAAATTGACCTTGTTCTATATTTTTTAACTAGTGAAATTCTAATTATTTAAATAAAATTTATTTATATAAAAATTCATCGATAATATATTATTTTATTATTTAAATATATCATGTATTATTTTATTTTTAATTAATATTAAATTTTACATAATTTATTTAAAAATATATTAAAATTTTACTTCAACATAATTTATATAAAAATATATCATGTTCAATTTAGGGATTTTTAACTTTCACTATGATATTAAATTGACCATGACGATGATTTTGTTAGGTAATATTTTTCACACAAAATAGTTGTTTGGGTATCGATAAAGGAGTCCTATAAGTAGATTGCCGAGGGTTTTGGAGTAATCATCCCAATACCAAACACCTCTATGTTTAAATTAATTATACTATATCAAAGTGTTCGCGTAAATTAGTATCATACTCCTGCTACATCTTTTAATGAAAATTTTCATACGTACACTATCTTTTTATACTAATGAAATATTATAATGTTCAGGTTCTATTAAAATCTTAAAGAATACAAAAAGAGTCCAATAAGTAGATTGCCGAGGGTTTTGGAGTAATCATCCCAATACCAAACACCACCTATTCGTGCTTGAGCTCATTACTGAACTAATGAACATATGGAACATCAATTCATATTATTGTTTATCTATCTAATTTTATATATTTTAAAAAACCATTAATAATACAATCGTTTTAATAATGTAATTTCAAGTGGATTTGGGGCTATTTTTTAATATATTATCATTTAAGAATTTTACATTGAGCAAATAATTAAATAATTCTCTATTTGCTTAAAACTAAACATGCATTATCTAGGCAAATAGAACATGAAATATTATAAGCATATATAAAATTCTAAAAATGTGAAATATATATATATATCATTCCATGTTCCGATTAGGGGGGAAAACATAAAAAAATAGTTATAAAAGGTAAAAGAGAGATGAGCAAAAAGAAAGCTATCTTGAGGATGGTGAACCTCCCCAGAACCATACTTAGCAACCACAGAGAGCTTTTCACAAGTTCTTACTAAAGCAAGCCCAACAACTAGACAGAATTAAGGCCACCCACTCATTTTTGTTAATCCTCATCATCATCATCACCATCATCCTCCTCTTCCTCCTCCTCATCCTCGTCCTCTTTTGCCAATCGATGGACAAAAGTATTATTAGGGTAAACAAAATTCCTAAGCAACTGATACCACAAAAGATATCAATGAGTAGAGCTCAATGGCAACGATGCAATTCAACTCTTACGTACATGCATATCAATCTAACTTCAGAACGTGCACAAAGGTGATCTAGACATTGAATGCAGCAGCAGAGTATAAATAAATGAACGGTTGTCTAACAATTCTGAAGCAGATATGAATTCCAATACAGATTTATATCTAAATGGCAACCTAGTACTCAAACTCAGGTGTAATCATCATATATAGGCTTTCTAGTTTCTTCTAAGTTTTTCAATGTATTTGGAGGATCTTTGTAGGAACATGTTACCCAAACCATATCTGGATATGGTTCAAAGTCTGACAGAGTTATGTCAAGAAAAATAAAGATTCAGAGTAACTAGGACCTAGATGGAAATATTTCCTAGAATAAGGAGAAAATGCAAATAATGCTCTCAAATCACCACAATTTCCCCTATTGCATTTCCAACCTAATTCCAAAATTCTGTTATACTGCTAAATCGAGTACTCCACTGATCGGTAATCCAGACTAAATATCTTCATTTTGAAACCAGAATCTTAACTTGGTCAGAGACCATTCATCTCACAACAACTAAATTCTATACACAATGTTGAACCTATGTTGCACGGATACGGATACGGGACGGATACGAGGACGGGAAACGGTAATTTTAAAAATTACAGGGTACGGGGACGGCAAGGGTACGTCATATAAAATAATTTTAAAATTATAAATATATATAAAAAATCATAAATAATGTCAAATATCAAGACTCAAACAACAATATTAAGTTTATAACAGTAAAATCCATAAACAAACAACAATATTAAAATATCAAATTTTAATATTCAAACCATAATATTAATTCTAGAATAATAAAATCCATAATAAAATCATAATATTAAAGTGTCAAATCTTAAGACTTAAACCATAATATTAAGTCTAGAAAAATATTAAACTCAAATCAAATATTGTTAACAACTTTGAGATTAACTGGCTCTCTAGATTCGACTCATCAAGCGAGAATGTCGGCCACAACGGCTTCCAGCTACGCTACTGCTTTAGCCGAATTGGTAACAACCAGAGTGCTGTTGGGGTGAACCATAGGCAGCCCGTAAATGACCCAAACCATGCAGTTTATTAAGGTTGCTAGATACGGGGCTGGCGAGAACTGCTCCACTGAATTTTTCTTCCAAATTTGAGCAAAAGTTGGCCTGCAATCAAAAGGTGATTAAAGATAATGTAATCAACTAAACACAGGGAAACAAAAGTCAGGCGAAGCTTACACAGGAGACAAGAAGAGGAAGAGTGATATAACGTTCCCTGTGAAGAAGTAGAACAAAACCCACATTAGTTTACTTTTCAGGCGGGTTTCAAGGAAACATCGTTGTATGGTAAACCAACATACCTGTGACCCCAACTACATTACGGATAGTGTTGAGTAGGTGAGAAACCATGGCTGTAAGCTGTGTAAAGCAATGAATGAAACGAGTAGGGGAAGGGGGAGGAAGAAAATCAGGGTGCAAAAGGGATCGTTTATATGGAGATTTTCAACTTATAGAACTTATATACAAAGGGGGATGAATGAGTTGAGAGGGCCGGTGTTGAATGCGGTGTGGGGCTAACGCATCTGAGCATGGATTTGGCAAGAATCTAAAGACGTAGCCAAGTCAAACAACAGCCTCGACACCACCTCCTCCGACGTCGAAAAAATCGAAAATGCCGTCTCTGAAACGTCCCCAAGACTCGGTGAAACGTCCCCGGCGTCGTTCAGCCGTACCCTGCCACCGTGGCACGTCCCCGGTACGTATCCCAGCCGTCCCCGTGTCGTCCCCATACCGGGGACGTATCGGGTACGTGAAACGGCACAAGTTTGCCGTCCCCGTGCTTCCTTGTGTTGAACTCGGTGAAAATCGAGCTAAACTGATCTAAAGTAATTTAAAAGGCATGCACATGAGGAAAAACCCACGAATCCATCCTAATGATTTGGTGGGTAGGAGAAGAATTATTCCCAAAAACATGTGTCTGTAAACACCTAGAAATAAACTAAGGCCAATACATGATATACACGTTTGTAGAGGTAGTCAAATGGACCTAGCTCCCCCAGCTATCCCAATTCAACCAGCTTCTACAGAATTAACATGGCAAATTGTTGAATGCTACTAGATTTACATAACGCAAATTGGTGGCTTCTGCTTACTTAGGGGCCGTTTGGGAATGCTTATGGAAGTGGTTTTGGCCGAAAATTCCATGAGACAAATGTAAGTCAGAGTGCAGGTATAAGCAAATTCACATAGCAAGTTCTAGAAAGTACGCCTCACACAAATGTCACCAATCCAAAACGACTCCAGAGAAAATTATCAACTTATTCCAACCATTTGATAAGCCTCCAAACCTTAATAATCTCAATTTATATTCACATTTTGTTATCAATAGCAGCAGTTCTGGGTTCAATTGATAAGTTCATTTTTTAAGTTCAAAATACACTCTATTAATTATACTTTACCCTAACATATCGATCACAAAAATAGTCCAATTTTGATCTAAAAACTTAAAGCCATTTTGATCTAAAAAGCCCCAGGACTTGAGGGTAGAGCAGGGCAGGGGAAGAGTGAAAATGGTCGGGTGTATATATTAAGTTTTTCAAAACAAACAAAAAAATCTACCTCTTCAACTCCATCAAAATCCTCTTCGTCAGCCTCCTACATCAGGAAGTTACAAATAACAATAAGCAAAAAAAGCAAAACATAATTAAAACAAAATATGTGTTACAAAACCAGAGAAAGAAGCCAGGCAAAAAATAAGTTACACTGTTGAAATAAGTGAGAGGATTGGGCCATAAGTCCTCCTTGATAATCTCTGCTACCTGTAATGGTTTATCAAGTGAAAAACTTGATAATCTCTTATTCCTGTCCTCCTTCCGCTGCGATAAGCTGGCAACCGTTGACGAATGCGAACCGAGAGCGCACAGCTGGAGGCTAGAGCGGTGGAGCGTGAAGAAGATTTCAGCCAGAACGAAAGGAGAAGACTATTTTAGACAACGGAGACGGAATAATAAAATACGGGAGATAGGGATAGACATTCCCGGAAAACAGTAAAAAAATTACTGTTGGTTTTAGCTTTTAACTGGTACTTTGTAATGTGTCCCATCCATCCAAACGTGTGTATATTCATATGGAAAAAAACATTCATTTCAGGAATGAATTATATCCGGAATCAAACGGGGCCAAGAGTTACAAACATTAGTTATATTACAAACATTAGTAATATAATTCACAGGCACGGACGTAAGATTTTATGTTAGGGGAGTGAACTTAAACTTAAAGAGATGAACTAAAATTCTAGGTGCTAAAACAGAATTTCAATAGAAAATATATAGAAAAAACTAAAATATGAAAATTTTAAATTTTCAGGGATCGACTGTCTCCATCTACCCTTTCGATCCATTCCTGACCACACAACAGAATTTCGAAACTAGCTGGCTGTAATTGCAAATCTGTAGGACTGCAAGTCTAGCTTCAAACACGACATTTTCTGATACAAAGTTGGGGCAATTTCGTTACGAGCAACCGAAACGTCAAACCGTGTAACCACTTGTGGATAATCAAAAGTGAGGGGCCTCAACGCTCGAAACGTCAAACCGAAGAAACCACTTGAAGATAATCAAAAGTGAGGGGCCTCAACGCATTGCCAACTTCGGCTTCTATCAGCTCCAATTGCCTTTTGAAAATGTGCATGTAACCACCCAATCTCCTTCTCTACAAGGACTTGGCATCGGCATTACATATCCGGAATCCCCTCCCCATGGGAAATGGTATGACCCGAAAACAGGACGACCCCATCCGAAATCCACTTTCGATGCCGGGAAATGTTGCCCCGATGATACTACAAAAGCCAGCCCCTCTTCGTTGCCATTCATGTATATTTTAGCCCGTGCCGGTAAATGCGTTTATATACTAGCTTATTATACAATGTGTAAAGACTTGCGAATAAATATCCAAAATATGATTAGTTTTTATATTGTTGTGAATAACTTACGATGTTTTATAATTATATTTAGATATAAAATTCATAAGTATCGACTAATCCACTAAGAATATTATAAAGCAGGGACGGAGACAGAACTAGATCTCAACAGAGGCTGAATCTTTTTAACATCTTTAAGTTATATATATAATTTTACATTTATTATTTATTTATTTCAAAAAATATAAATGATAACATCAAATATGCATAGTTCTATATTTATATGAAATAACAAGTTAAAAATTAAAGTAAAGTAAATAATAAAAAATGTGATTTTAAAAAGTGCAAAAGACATAACTACCACATAATCACAATAAAACGTGTCTTTCCTTCAAATCTCGAAATGCATTTACGAGCGATGTTGTACTAAAGCTCCTTGCAATATCTCTTTCAATATTGATAAGCATGCAACTCTAAAAAAACTCATCCTCCATTTGTTGTGGAGTATTGTCTTAATGATATTCATTGTAGAAAAAGCTCTTTCAGCACTTGCTATAGAAACTGGGTGAGTCAATAGAAGTTTTATCGTTCAGAATATATATGGATACGTGTTCACTTTCCTAGTATCCACCAACCACTGACTTAGGTCAGAGATTGTCAACAATTTTCTTAGACCTGAATTCCATGATAACTCAACCTCATAATGACACAATTCTGTTCATAAATCATTCTTTTCAACTTCCGTGAAATCATCCGGATAAAATTTATTCACAAGATTGCAAACGTCTTCAAGCTTGAAAATTTTATCACCATCTCTTGGCTCCAAAGCACAACCAAGAGTTAATAACTCTATTGACTTCTCATTAAATCTATTGTTTAACTCTTGTAGTTGAACATCAACTATAACATAAAAAATTTATACTCGATAATGATGTTCAACTGTAAAATGATCTTGTTGGAGACGAGAACGATGCCTCTTTTTTCTCTATAAATAGAATTCATATATGGGATATCTATGTTGAGACTTTCACAAAATGAGGTAACCTCCATAAAAAGATTATTCCATTCACCATCTCTAAATTTCTGCAAAAGTATCTTTAAACTCTCAACAAGATGTAGTGAATTCAAAATATCCTAAGATTTTCGTTGTAATAATTGAGAAAATAAATCAGTGTTTTTTAATATTTTATTCATAAGATGTAAAATAAAGACAAAATCAAAGGAAGTCAAAGTCTCTAAAGTTGTCGCCGCTTCTCCTCGTTTAGAATATGTACTTTCTTCATCAATGAGTTTATATAGAAGAACACAAGCGACACTAAACATTTTTATCTAGCTTGAAATTGATCTCAAGTAAGAACCCCATCGAGTATCACCTGCCCTCTGCAAATTACTTGTTTGATTCAAACCAGTTCCATTTTAAGTTGTTCTTCTTCAATCAAATGATTTATTTCGTCAGAATAAGCTTTTTTTAGTTCATTGATGCGCTTATATGAGGCAATGTTGAGTTAATCGATTGACGGAATCGGCCAAGAGGGGGGTGAATTGGCAATAAAAATTTTAGTGGAAGCTTTTGCAGAAAATTGAAAGAAATTACACAGCGATTTAGAGTGGTTCGACTTTCTCAACCAAAGTCTACGTCCACTACCTTAGCTATCCACACTAAGGATTTTCCACAAATTCACTAATTTGTCTTTCTTTTTGAGGACAAAGAGTAACCTTACAAACCCTCAAGAATTATACCCCAAATTCTTGAGAACACTCTCTCCCAAAGAGAACAATACAAATTTGCAAACTTACAAGGAAATCCTCACAAGGTAGATTGTTTGCACAATTCTAGAACAAAGAAAAGAACACTCAAAAAATGAATACAATTGAGCACAATAAGTGTTCTTGAAAGCAAAATGAATATTGAATGAAAAATAGGCTTGAATTGCTCAAACTTGAGGTTTGATGCTTTCTCTTTGATTCTCTCTTGATTCTAGTTGCTTGATATTTCTTATTATTGATCAATGACTTCTAAGCTTGCTAAAATACACCTTGAATCACTTCTGAACGTTGGGGATGATTAGTGAAGATAATATAGCCATTTTAGTGTGAAATCAATTAATAAAACAACTTGGAGCGTGGGGGGAATTGGTACCCCTTAAGGGAAATCGGTTCCCTAAGTGTAAAATTCAAATATTTCGACCGTTGAACAGTGGGGGGAATCGGTACCCCCTAGGGGGAATCGGTACCCCCTAGGGGGGAATCGGTTCCCTCCGAGCATACTGGAATTCTCGGAGCCAAACCATTCAGGGGGAATCTGTACCCCCTTGGGGGGGAATCGGTTTCCTCTGAGCAATCTGGAATTTTTGGTTTTGAGATAGTTCGAAATATTTTGTAAAATCGTTTTGAAATTATTTTAAGATTAAAACTTAATTTTACACTTGAGTAAGGATTAAAAATGACTTTTGAAAGATTTAGAGTAATGTTTTGATATTCGAATAATTATATTGAATATACTTAAAAAATCATTTGGAAAATCTTAAAATTCATTTAACTTAATTTGTTATATCGAAATATCAAAATGTTTTCAACAATCTCCCCCTTTTTGATATAACAAAACATTTTAGTAATTTTAAGATTTTGAAATCAAAAACGATGTTTTTGAAAAATTACTCCCCCTTACTTTAACACTTCTCCCATTTAAAACATTTAACACTTCCCCCTTACTTTAACACTTCTCCTATTTAAAACATTTAACACTTCCCCCTTACTTTAACACTTCTCCCATTTAAAACATTTAACACTTCTCCCCCTTTTTGTTAAATCAAAAAGACTCGTAAAAGATTTTAAACAAGGTTTTTGAAATCATTTGGCCAATTGAATATATATAGTTTAAGCTGCTAAGATCACAATCAAGAGAAACGTTAGCCATTATTTTCATAATCAATATTCATAAACAATGTGACATGGCAAAATTGGTCATATATCTAACATGATGTAAATGATGCAATAAATTTAACTAAATCAAATATATAAATTCAAACATCTAAACAAATCCAAAGTCTAACAATCCTCAAAATCAAACATTCCAAAATATTCAAAATGTTGAAACAATAATTTTTTAGTTCAAAGTTCTAAAGCTAAACACATAATCAAACATCCGGATCGGGAGGAGGAAAACGAGCTCGCATAACGGCCATCTCATGTGAGAGTGCATCAATACGTTCATTCATCGAAGCATTGTTTGTGCGCATCTCTTGGAGAATTTCTAATTGTTGAGCTCACATTGTGGATAAATGAGACTCTATAGAAGTAAAGCGTGAATCCATTGTAGCATATCGAAAATCGAATGTCTCCATAAAAGATTGAAAATATAGAGGCATTTGATTCGTTTGTTGTGCTTGCCCCTCGGGCTGCTCAGGCTCATCTTCAGCTTCATCGATGTCTTGCATTAATTGTTCAAGCTCAGGATCGTCGTCAGCTTCTGGTGGAGCTCGTGAAGAACTAGCTCCCGGAGTATTTTCAGAAGATCGAACCCATTCACCGGTTTCCTTATCCTTTATCCATCCCGTTCTCGTTAAGGAAAGAAGATTAATTTGTTTTTTTAGAGGAAAGGAGGCATCTAGACCAACTCTAAGCCTGGCTTTAGAAAATAGATTACTCAAAATGCAACCATAAACTAGAGATGAACAGAGTTTCTTGTTAGGAACAAGATTTACGGTTTCAACAATTTCAGCAAAAA